CGTCCCGTACGCCAACTGACGGAGCGCGGCAGTGCACTTTTGGACGCCACTAAACATGCGTCGACCTCTCGCATCAAACCGTTGGTTGAACCAAGGAACCTCGCGTTCAACATCGGCGAGTATGCGTAAGAAGAGAGGACGACTCATCCGAAAACGATTACTAAAATCCTCCGGTGTATAAACACACGGATTATTAAAGTAGTCGTTTAGAAGTGAATCGTGGGCGGCCGCTCAATCCCGGTTTAGACGTTGGCGTCGGGTCCGTCGTCGGGAGGATTCGGCTTCTTCTTGGCCATCTTCCCACCATTGAATACAATTCGTCGCGAAACAACGAAAAAATAAAGCTCTTCTTTCATCGTCAGAAGATGAACCCATTTTAAAATTATATTTTATAAATATTTATAATAAATAATAAATATTTTTGAGAGAATATATAGTAATAAAGAGAGATTTGTGAGAGAGAGGTGTGAGAAAGATGTATGAGATAGGGGGATTTTATAGGTTTTTTTTTTAAATTTAGATTTTTTTTTATTTAGGGGGGGTAACGGCTATATAGCCGTTGGGAAGGGGGGGAGCCGGCTAAAAAACGCAGCCAAGCCGCGTCAAACTTTTGACGCTGATGAACTCACGCCCGATCACGCCCGGAGGGGGGCGGTGTTTCACGTTCTCGGGGCGTTAAACGCCCGTTCACGCCGGCGGGCGTGAAACCTATTTCCAGTGCTCTAAAAAATTAGAAAAATCTATAACACCTCAATAAATTTTTGATTTTATAATGTTATTCTCAAACTTAAAAACTCGCACTATTGCTCCGATAATTGCTCTATGAAAATTATTTTTTAAGTATAAATGATTCATATTTATTTTTAAGTAAAACATAAATATTCCTCATTTCTCTCTCTTTTTTTAACTAATTCTGCAATAAGTACTTCCTACATTAAGTCAAAAATTTATTAATACAATGAAATGAATATAATCTAATACTAAAATGAATATGAAAAGGATTTTTTTGAAAAATATGAAAAGAATATTAATACAATGAAATGAATTTTTGAAAGTTTCTGCAAGATAAATCTAATAAAATCATTTTTATACCAATATCCAATATGTGGAGTAATTTTTATTTAATAAACGATCGAAGTTTATTCACTTTAACTCAAAAATAAGGAAATAGGATGAATACTCTAGACAAATGTAGTATAATGCTAGAGTCACAAACAAACAGTTCGCAAAATTCACAAACTTGCATTTTAAACATTTTTCTAGAAATAAGATGCACTCAAATAATAAAAATATTTTAATTTAAAATCCACAAAAGGCAAGTTTGTGATTTATTTGTTTGTAACTTTAGCATTTTCCATCTTTTATTTATACACTCACTCACGAGAATTTGAAATAATGTTTCACAACTCTAATCGCCCCTCTATAGTCGGGCTCCGTTTTTAATATGGTGTACTACCTCGTTCAAAAGTATTTATCCAATTTTAAATTTTTACAATAAAAAGTGATGAATTTTAACCATTAATTAAATAAAATTTATATTCAGACATTAGATATCGATACAAAAATAATTTTATTAAATTTATATTTTGAATTTTTTTTAAATATAATTTAATCTAATTAATTTACCTTGGCATTTTTACTGAATTATATGTCAAAAATCGATTTTTGGTCGACTACAAAATTGAAAACTGGACCAATACTCTGGGACGAATGGAGTACATTAATATGCTTTTCATCGATAATATCTAGGGGTGTTCATTCGGTAAAACCGAACTGAACCAAACTGAAAATCCTGTAACTTATTTTTTGTACCAAATACCGAACCGAAATCAAATGGTTCAGTTCGGTAAAACACAAAATTAAATCGGTTTTACCAAAGACCGGACATAAACCAAAATTTGAACTCTTAAAAATCCATTACATTCTCCAAATTGAAAATAACAAAGCACAAATAGATCCATTACATATAAGTTCATTAGACACTCTAAAGTCAAAATAACATGGCAAAATTGGAACCATTACATAAAATAATACAAAAAAGTTGATACAAATAACACAATTGTCCATTCTGAAAAACAAAACATTTACCAGTATTATTAATTTGATGTTTCATGATTTCCAATCTTCAGTAACTCCAAATTTAGATTATAGGACTTAAAATAAGTGGGCTGGATATTCATTATTTCAATATCGGGCTAGATATTGGGCATTGGATTGAGTAGAAATAGGTAGAATTATACACAAGTATTAAATAATTTCGATGTTCTGTTTGTACCAAAATACCGGCTCCAAATTTTCTATTGAACCGAAAACCGGTTTTTTAAAAATATGAGAACCGAATACCGAACCAAATTATTTGATTCGGTTTCGGTACGTACCGTACTTTCAGTTTCGATTCGATTCGGTCAGTTTACCGAATTGTGCACACCCCTAATAATATCTCCCGGAGAGAAAATTCTTTGGCGGCAAGTATGTGAGAGAAATAAACTCTTTGTTTGGAAAAAAAACTATCATTTGACTTTTTTAGGTCAACGATTTTAATATTTGACTACTGTATTGTGATATAAATTTAATACACTCCACACAAATTCAAATTATTTGTTTTTGTTTACAAGAATTGACTAAATTTATTTTGAATACACTTTATTTGAGAATTGAAGCAAAATTAAAAAATAAATTTCATATACTACTCCGTGAAAAAACTACGGAGTACATAATAAGCTATATGAGACAAGAGGTTACATGTCTAAATTATTTTATTAAATTAGTAACGAAATTAGAGAAAAAAAGCTAATGAAATTTCACAATGCGAATAATAAATATGCAACTAAATTTAAGACGGAACGAGTCATAAAAACATTTGAATTGTTAGAAATAGTGTCACTAATTAAATTTGGAAGTATTGACGTAAAATAAAAAATTTGTTGGAATAATGGCGTAAATTTTTCCTAAATTCAATCAAGTCCAATTCAGCAATATAGTGAGCTACAAGTAACAACTTTAGTTCAGTTCAACTTCAATTAAAATCCCTTCGGAGTACATTTCAGCTGAAAAGAATAAACAATTGAATGATTTAATGGCAAGAACATCTGCACAAACATAATCTCCATTGATCCTACAACAAACTCGAACCCCGAAATTGTTGTGTAAAGGAGTTGAAATCATAAGCAAAGCATAAACAGAACTATACTTTGTGCGAACGAAAATCACGACAGGAAAACTAAGTTGAACAGAACCCCCAACATACATTCCGAAAACCAGATCAGAGGACGCCGAAGAAGGGATTGTTGATGGCACTATTCAACTCAGCACCAGCGGAGTGAAGCACGGCCATATCCACCTTATCTCTTTGAAGAAACAAGAACTCTCCGCCTTCAATTTTTTCAAATCCGAGCAGCTCGAGGAACTCCACGCCTCCCTTCAGCTTTCCAACTCTTTCCTGTTAAACAACATATAGGGAAGAGTTTGTTCAGTTTCAAACAGTTCATTTTGTCATTTTAGCTATAAGGGTGAGGGTAAATTGCAGTGAAAAGAGTGAATTTGCTGCGTGAGGCTGAAGTAGACGAAGGGGCTGAATTACGCGTCTAACTTAATTCATTTTTTGCACTATCAATTCCAAATCCACATAATTTTTGTGCTACCAAACACCAGAATTGGAATTGAAGTCCTCAATTCCAATTTCATAGTTTGAATTCCATGTACCAAACGGGGCCTCAATGATTTTGAAATAAATTACATAGTAAACTACTCTGTAATTAACACTGTATCATTCTCTAGAAAACATACTATGTATTTAAATAACAAACAAAATTACTCTAATTTTCCATCAAATTCAACATATGCTTTATTGTATATCATATAAATATCTCTTCTAATGTATAAAACATAATTAAATAATAACATTATGAAAACCCCCAAAATGTAATTATAAGAAATAATATTCGAAAAATTACTAAGGGTAAGAAAAATAAAAAAGAACCTTTCTACAACTATTATGTTCCACAAAAATCACTTTTAAAAATGAATACTAAGAAAAACATTAGTGGAGAAAAAGAGGCAAGCATGTGCACACACGCAAGCACCCACCCGCGTGCACACACAGAGTCATGCCACCTTATTTGTCTCTTATTTAAACTATCAATATTTACCATTAGAATCATTACATATTATCACCTCATACTTCACATATCACGTATTTTGACAAACAGGCCTTTGCAAATTACGTAACTTTTTCTTAGACATCTCGATACTTCAGAGACATTGCAATAAGGCATACATCAATTATTCAATTCAAGCTCATGTAGTAATAAATGAATAATAAACCATGAAGGCATTAACTACAAATATTGTGCATATGCTCACCTGGATTGCAGGATTACTAAGTCTGATTTTTCGGAACTTTTCCTCATTTGGATTTGTTGCAACATTCTTGGCAAATGTTAGGAGTGTGTTGAATGCTGTCTTTACTTTTGCCTCATCACCCTTGCCAATTAAAGACAAATTGAAGAAGTCATATCACTAATCATAATAGAAATAAAGATGTGTACCCTACATAGATACACTGTTTTATAGAGACATGAAAATAATGTACTCCCTCCTTCCAAAAAAAGTCATCTTCCATACACGTGTTCGTCCCCAAAAAGAGAGTCATATAAAGCTAATTTTTCATCAAGCTTGCTAAAGAAAGGTTATGAACTATTCAAATATTATGAATGTAGTGGAAATTTGACAAATAATATAAAAAATAGTTGGATGTCATAATTTTTAGGAGTTGTAGCTTGACAAGGTCTTTCTTTAGGGGTGGGGGGGGAGGGGGGGACAAGTATACAAGTATTTGGATTTTTGTTGCTAGGAAAAGATTGTGTGGAATGGATAATGCTAACACTCATCATTATTATGATCTTAGAGGTATGTTCCCTCTTTATATGATGTTGTCAGACTCTTAATGGCCGAGGCACATATTTAGAGAAACTATATCACTGAGAAAAGAAATCAAAACAGTAGATGTGGCCCAGTGCACTCCACAAAATAGTTCCCCCTAGGCAAATGTTTTTGCAGAATTAATGTGTTAAAATTACCAACTTCATGTGGAAACTATTACCTTGTGGTTCTGCTTGAGAATACGCAAACACTCTCTCATTTGTTCTGTCTTCGTAGCTGGTCTGACAGGCAGTGAGCTCTGCAAACCAAAATTTGGAAAACAGGGGTATTTTAGTTTCCATGAGAAAAGTTCTCTCGGAAGAAACTCAAAATTTTAATTTGAAGACAGATATAACCTTCTTTTCTTCTACCACTGGTGCAGAAGGTTTTGGAGCATGATCTTCAGCGGAGACAGCGGGGAGACCAAGTTTGCGTCGCCTTTCGGCCTGTCAAATTACAATTCATTTTCACCAATCAGAACTATAAAGAGAAGGGAACTTCAAAACTAGAGATAGGAAGAAAACGAAGATAGTGTTCCTCCGACTAAAAGTGGTCTGTTAAGAGTCCAAGTGATATAGTAAACTTGGTAGTATAAAAAACTGAGAGAATAAAGCTCAATGACACAAAAGTTTCCCAAGGAAATGTCCTGCCAGAACATATTATTAGCTTTAGTTTTCATATTAAAACCGCCTCAACATATGCACCAACCTTATCCTCTTCCAACTTTTGACGAATTTTCTCTCTTGCTCTTTTCTCTTCATCCTTCTCTGCCTTCCGCAAAGCTATTAATCTATAACGGCATTGTTGAGTAAGCATTAAGCAAATAATCAAACATGATAATAAAGTAAATCACAAAGGACAATGAATACTAGAATACTGGACTAACCGTTTTCTTTCATTTTCTTCCTCAATCCGCTTAGCCTCAAGAAGTTCCTTGCCAATTCGGATTCTTTCCTGATGTCAAATAGAAAATAAATGATCATGCGCAATAAGTTTGTGGACTAATAGGAGTAATAGCTATATATAAAGTGGAAGGCAATTTAAAACATAAGTAGCACATATAGACATGGCCAACTGCAGACAAGGCCTTTTTTTAAAAACTAGGATATACCTTCTCTCTCTCTCTTTCCCTTTGTTTCTCTTCCTCTTCTTTCTTTTTACGAGCACGCTCCCTACGAAACCAGTAACCAGTCAGCAGAAATCGATATAAGTGTCACTAGCTTTACAATTAATAAGGGGATTGCAAAGCAGAAAAACCCTGAAATAACTACAAATACAGCCTTATTGTAAAAGAATATTACTATCCGCCAAACATTCTATGAGAGAGAGCATGAAGAGTATGATGCCAGAAACTCAAAGCAGGGCAGTAATCAAGCAACTAATTCAAGGAAGGACAATTGAAGTGTTCACTTATTTGAAGATAAACTATTGCATCCTTCTACATAGAAATAAAAAGGGTCATGTTTGACCAATGTAAAACTTTAGGAAAATAACATTTTTGATCTCTCAATTATTATGCATTCTCAAATGTGGTCCATGTCTTTCAACTTTTGAAATATGGCCCTTCAACTGTTTACTGAGTTGTAATTATGGTTCTTTCCATCTAGGATAAGGTCTTAGTCCAAGACTGGTCTGCGGTGAACAAACCAGAATCGCCAGCCGTAGGACCACACCAGGGCAGGGACGAGCACAGGGCAACCAACCACGTGACAGGGATAAGGATCATTCAAATATGGATCCTGATACAGTTCACATTCTGATGGTCCCTGCCTTTTTAGTGTACTTGATGTTTTAAATTTTAGATTACAGGATCAAGACCATTAGTCCCAAGAACTGATACAAAAAGCATATTGTGGACTGTTTTGATCAGATCTATACCAAATGGTGGAGCAGGACTGAGACCAGTCCAGATTATATCCAACCCTGCAGCATTGAGGCTAGTAACTTAGCCAAGTATTAGCCATTTTCTATATTTTTTTCTGACTACAGCTCTTAGGCACTAGTAAACTAAGACTGGCTATAGTATAGAGACTAGTAATTTGTTTGCTGATTTTATATTTTTTCTGACTACGACTCGTTCTTTTTCTCCTTTGATTTTTTTTATTTTGTTTCCTACGCTTCTTTTTTCAGCAATTTACTAGTTATCGTATTGAGACTGGTAAATAGTTTATACGGGCTAAATTCTTTATCAGCCTTAATAATTTACTGCCAACAGGCATTAGCCGTTTTCTTATTTTTGAGTAATACTTCGTAGTCCATATTTTCTAAATTTTTTGTGCTGCTTTTGTTAGAACTGGTTAAATAATTTGAGCACCATAAACTCTTAAATACTTTACACTGTAATAATAAGCAATAAGGATTTACTTCTAGTAATTGTATTCTAACTTTAATGACGCCTTGCCTAGGCAAAAAGTTTGTCCCTTAGTGACTCATTTTACCGTGATGGAGAATTATGAGGAGACACACACACATACCATGCATGTGTGTGCCTTTGAAATCACTTCTTCAAATTCTACATAACAAAGTAAACATTTAGTACATTAAAACAGTACTTATTTTCTTTATTTTTTGTATAATACTCGGTATGAGGATAGTCCAAATGAAGAACCCAACCTTTAACTATAAGAATTTCTAAGATTAACTCAGATACACGGGTATATCACATGGGTTTTCCTTTCAAGGGTATTTCAGCAATATAATATATACAGATCGAATATGAAATTTATTCATGGTGGTCAAGATCGCGATCTGAATCGTACGATCTCACGATTTTGCAGATCGTTTTACGCAATGCGATCTGAATCGCGATGAAGATCGCAACTCAGTCAGAATCGTTCGGATCACCAATTAAGACCGTAAGATTGCAGAAACGTAAGGGATCGGCGATAGAAATTAGAAAGTTTTTCACTTGCGGAAATTCTAAACTCTAGGTTATGGCCCTTCAAGACTCTTCCCAAAGACTATTCCCCGTATAAAGAAACCTTCTCCCACACAAATACTTACCAGACTTTGCTTCTAACCTTAACCCGCAACACGCCTCTTTTGCCCAGGTATTACTTCGTGTTTTCGCTCAGGTATTACTTTGTATTTTTTGCCTTTGCTACTTTTTTCTTTTACATCTCATTCTACTTTTTTTTATTACTCGTATATGTTTCATACCAGTCTCAGAGTCAGCATTGACTTTTTATTCTGTCAGTGAGCAGTGGCTTTTTTGCCCATGATGCACCAGCCAAGTTTTTTTTAAATTACTACCCTTCTCTTAGTACATTTTTTTATTATTTAGATGTTTAGGAATAAAGTATCAAGTGATTTGTGACAATAGTATTATTTTTTCCTTTTAATTAAAACATGTGTTCTAATGGTGTTTATATTTATTTTTAAAAAAAGGGTGTGTGTGTGAGTGTTTATATATATACACACACATGTGTGTGTGTGTGTGATCTTACGATCTGAGTTACGATCTTACGATTTACGATCTTTTATAAGCCTAGCGATCCTACATAGAATCTCAAGTTTGACTACCTTGATTTATTGTATGTTACACTGAGACTTCTATAGGAATGAGGTGAATAAGAAGACGAAGTAAGGAAAAGTAATTAAATGGTTATGGAATAAAATTTTATAGTACTCGTATGTCATGATCGTTACCACTCATCCTATATTTACTAAGCAACAGCAAGTTTATCAATGAAAGCAACAGCAAGTTTATCAATGTAAGAACAGCAAGTTTATCAACCACCAATGAACATCAGGTATAAAACAAAATCCAAAACCTACCTCAACTCATGTTGCTTCATTTTTATCTCCTCTGGGGTGAGAGAAGACTTTGGAGGCACATTGTGGGAAGCGACAGGCACCTGAAGTAATCAGAAAACTCATTTAGACTTGCCTTTGATTTTTTAGGGGTATGCCCCGATGCATTGTACTCATACATCATACTGACTCAAGTTGGTTTTATTTACATTTTACAGTAGAAAACTCATTTAGACATTTCCACCATGAACCATATGCCCCAATTTATTTTGCAACAAAAAGAGTTACTCTTTGCTCAGAAGCGAACAATATTAGAAACAGAGGACATATTAAAAATGACTCTCAAGTCTCGACAGGCAAATGCAGACGTGATTCATGGGAACGTAACAACGAAACAAGAAAGCCCATAATGGACAAGTGTCATTTTTAAAAGACCAACAGCCATATCAATATGTTATTGGGTGATGAAAATTACTAAATGACCTTAACCCGGTGCAAGTGAAAGAAATAAGAAGCCACCATTCCATGCTCATGGACTTCATTTTGGTTACCTAGTGATCTTGACAAATATATCAATGAAATGGTTGAATTGAATTTCTAAATGCAGGCTTACCAGAGGCATTTGATCTATGTCTGCATCACTATCATGTTCTACAACCCAATTCAGAGCAGCCTCAAGGCTAGCATTGCCTGAAAAGAGTTATATAAGCTAATATGCATCGGATTCAGTTGCATGAATTAAACTACCAAGAGTGAAAATATTTACACGTGCAGAGATTTGATTTAACTACACGGATTTACAAATACATCTGGAGTTTGCAAAGGAAATTAAAAAACAAAAATACAAAAATGGGAACATGGGACAACAAACACATCAGTTTCTTTAGAGAATTTATCTTGCATATCTGTTTCCTTTATAAATATATCACTTTCCAATTTTTTTGAAATGATTTTGCACCAAAATTTTCTCGTTGTAGCTTGCAAGTTCATTGTGTCTTTTGTCTTGCATATGATTTTAACTGGTGTTGAAAGAAGAAGTTTTGCGCTGCTTTCCTTTTTGCCTTTAATGCATTTCAGTTTTTTTAAACGACACTGCAGCTTCAAGGCCTTACCAGAATAATGGAGTGCTCGGGTAGCCCTTGCAGTCTGAAATCCCATTGCTTCAAGTTCAGTGAGTAGGTTTTTGTCAACTTCAGGAACAACCATTTCTAAGAAACAAAAGAAAAGTGTGTGAAATTACTTCAGCATCTCAAAGATCCAGTTGAGTAGCTAGAGGATGTTCAAAACAGAAAAGGACTTTTAGTGAGAATCCAGGTGCATTGAGATTGTTACCAAGCACTCACATAGGATGAAAAAAATTAAATTTTCAGTGAAAAACTGTAGGTGCATTGCATGAAAATATATACACTATAAACTGTAGTTCTAAAAATGAGAGTAACTAGACTGTGATAAGCCTGAGGAAACATTTTCAGTCAAATGGCAGAAAAAACCAAAATTCATTCCTTTTTTGCAAAGGAATGCAAACTTCACTTATGATTTAAGTAAACATTTGATACCTTCCTGCTGGCTACTGCTACTGCCTCCACCAGCCTCACTCATCTCAACATCATCAGCATCATCAAACTTAGGCTTTGGTGGCTCTAAGCTGATGGGTTTTAGAGCTTCTGCAGTCTTGTCTTGAAACTCACTGTGCCCAGTTCTCTTCGTATGTAAATCGCTCTCCTATCAATATATTCATGAAAAAACATTCACAATTCACACAAGCCAAATAAAACACATTCTGCAATCGACGCTGAATACTAGTAGGCCCATTTTTTATTTCCTCACCCAAATAACAGAACCATAATTTCCTATAACATACAATAAGCTTGCTAGTCTCTTCATCTTATTTAAAATAAAAACAAATAATTCCTTGTATAGTCGGCAATAAGAGTTAGAAAGAGTGCGATGTGAAATTTCTATTGGTGCAAATGGGGAGGAAGATTACGGTTTTGGAGCGGCAGGGTTTGCCGCAGGAGGTGCAGACGAGGTTGAGAATGGGTTCTGTGGACTCGCTGAAGTTAGTGTGTTTTGTGAGCTCGGCGTGCTCTTGCGCTTCCTCTACCGATTTGAGAAGGGTCCCGCAGTCCCCGCACTTGAGTGACACACCCGCCATTGTTGTAGCAGCTTAGCTCGGCTTCAGATTCAATTGCCCACCCCCAATTTTCCGATCAATTGACGATCAGTATCGGAAAGACTCTGTACATATATAGGGACTCCCCGAATGCAAATTTTAATGAGTATTAAAATTAATGGAAGGCAAAAATGAAATGCCAGTCACATGGATTATTTCAATCAATAAAAAATAATTCAGTCACCGTGTGGCAATTGAGTGGAATGTCGTAACATACAGTGGCAAGCCATTGTTTTTGTCTATTTTTGCATTTTTTAATGATTTTTAATTATAAAAAAATATTTTAAAAATATATTTTATTATTAAAATATGTTTACTTCTTTTAAAAAATATTTTTTTTTCAAAAATTACAAATATTAAAAATATTAAAAAAATAAAAAATGAGAGAGTCATGCCTTGCACATGGAATGAAAAGTGGGGCGGAATGGTCATGGAATGCCATGATTTGAGTGGAATTTGCTGACATGGCATGGCAAGGCAAGGCATTGTCTTGCCATTGTGAATGCTCTAAGAATAGTATGGAACAAATATTCTTATTAATTTTCTTTTTTTACGGCAATATTGTTATTAATTATTGTTTTCCGAGTTTTATAATTGTTGTTCTATTATGTAGTCTTTAGTAACTAGAATTCATTTGAAATCTTAGATTTCAATTCTAACATTTGAAATTCCATATTTTCAAATTCACAATGATGTTTGGAAAGTTATAGAATTTCAATTCTAAAATTTGAATTTTGAACTCGGCAAAGACGATAACGGAAATGGATTTATATGTATGGGGTTGTTATTATATAAGAGAAGATCACTTTTTAATTACAATTTTTAAATTAAAGAAAAATTAAGTTTGAATTTGTAAATGACATGGGGAGGGGTGTGGATTTGTAGTTGAGTTAGTTTTGAATTAGAAGAATTTAGTTCAAATCCAAATTCTTTGAGTTCCCAAACAAGTAATTTGGATCAAATCTGGATTTGAAGTCCAAATTCAAGTTTCCAAACACACCATTAAGATTTTCTCATGTAATCTTTATATATAGGTTTATGAGGCCGGTTCCCATGACATTGGGAACCAATGTCATGACCCGGGGTGCTCCGGTGCCCCGTTCGTAAAATTAACGGTTCCTGCCCCCCTAATCCCGGCATACCCCCCACCCTGCTTCGCCCCAAACACACCATCTTCAATTGCACCCCCCCAAGTTAATTTTAACTTTAGAGTCAAAATTTGATTCCAAAGTCAAAATTAACTTGGGGGTGCAATTGAAGGGGGTGGGGGTGTGTGTTCGGGGTGGGGCAGGGTGGGGGGTTTGCCAGGGGGTTAGGGGGTAGGAACCGTCAATTTTACGAACGGGACACCGGAGCACCCCCGAGTCATCCCATGACATTAGGAATATATATGAATGGAATTTTCATTGTTCAATAAAATCAATTATTATCAAATTGTATTATGTATCAGATTCTCTCTCCAAAAAAATATTGTGCGTGCTTAACAGCCGCCACTGATCTTGAAGAGCGTGTCTAATGGGTATGGTCATTTATTCTTCATTTTCTCTCCAAAAAATTATGAGTGTGCATAACACGAAAACTACATTTGTTAGTATTTCTTTTAGAATTCGAGAGCATGAAAAGTGGTAAAGAATCAGATAACGACCTGCAAAGAGAAAAAAAGAAACTCATCGCTCTCACTCCTATCACCAACATTGTTCCCGAAAAACTCAACAAACGTAATCTCAAGTTTGTTCGTCGTGCAACAAAGATCTGCATCTCCGCTTCTAGCGGCTATTTTCACACAATCGCTTATGCGAACTCCATTCTAGTTCATATGCTCCAAGCTGCTCCTCGTTACCGAAGATCAGCTTGCAGGGCTGGGAATGTTAGGAATAATAGAAACAAATGTTGTAATCAATTATTGATTTCTTTATTATTTGTTTCCATGATTATTGTTCTACTATGATTAAGATTCTTCTTGAAACGAGAAAAGAAGAAAAATAGGAAGAACTGGGGCAAGGGCGGGATGAGGGGGCTATAAGCATAAAATTGGGGGTAGGGGCCAGGTGACCTGTTGATAACTTGGAAACTTGTTAATGAACTTTTGGGTAAAGAAAATTGAAGATCTTGTAATTTTGTAACGCCACAAAATTCGACCTAAAATTTATATTAATAAAAGTAATTTTGCATAACATTTTAGTCTAATAAAAGTAAATTATACGTTTGACCATCATTTGTGTGTGTCAAAGGAGAAGAATCATCCAACCTCCCTAGCTAAAATCCCGAGCAAAAACAATGAGCTCTCTTATTGGTAATATTATGATACTTTTGATTCAATAATTCGTACCACTCTCTTCTTCAAAGTTGTAGCCTTGTTTCTTACGAATCTAAGACAACAAATGGTTCGTAATTTAGTTAAAAAATGAATGATATATGACCAAAATACCGGGACTGCGTCTGTGGTGACGAGCCTCTCGAGTTTGGCTAATATTCTTCCCATATCCAGATCATATCATCCAAAGTGCTTGCCATCAACTTTCTAACAATTATTAGGAACTCCTCGAAGGTATCATAAAGAAGGTTTGACGTTGGAAGCTTGATGTGGATAGAGGTGACCGTACATTGAACGTTCGTTGAGACGTTATCTTTTCATGTTCCACGTTCATCACCAAATATAAGGTAAGTATCTTTGCGATAGATTTTTTGAATCGTTCATCACATATGTACATGAATATATATATGTGCATACATATACACACACACACGCACACACACATATGATGAAGTTGTGGGAAAGAGTGATTGAACTGAGGTTGAGACAAGAGACTTTGATATCAGAGAATCAATTTGATTTTATGCGAGGAAAATCAACTACAAAGACTATATACTTGGTGAGAAGAATGATGGAGAGTCACCGAAGCAAAAAGAAAGATCATGTACGATGGTGAAAAGGCATATGACAGGGTACTAAGAGAGCTATTCTGGAAGGTGCTAGAGAAAAAATGAGTAAGAATTGTTTGTATTCGTGTGACTAAGGACATGTACGATGGTGTGTTACAACGATCGTGAGAAATCAAAACTAGGATAACAAGGGAATTCCCCATCGGTGTAGGATTACACCAAGAGTCATTGTCAAACTCATATCTTTTTAAACTAGTACTCCCTCCGTCCCCTAGTTTTTGTCCACTTTTCACTTTTGGAACTGTTCATCTAAGCACTTTGACTCATCAAATTCTCTCAATGTGTAAGCCTAAATATAGTCATGTGTGATCTTGTTTGATTTGTCTTAACATATAGATTATTAATATATAATTTCTATAATTTTTTAATATATAAATTACAAGATAAAATGGATTAAAGAAGTGAATTGGATGGTGTGCAAAAATGAAAGTGGACAAAAACTGGGGGACGGAGGAAGTATTACACATTCTTACTGAGCATATCCAAGAATTTGTACCATGGTGCATGCTTTTTTGTCGATGACATCATGCTTATGAGCAAAACACGAGAGGATTTGAATGGTAAGTTGGATTCGTGAAGACAGGCTGTGGAGTTGCATGGCTTGCGTATAAGTCGCACTAAAACAAAGTGTATGGAGTGCAAGTTTGGCAATGGAAGGAGAAATAATAACATCGAGGTGAAAGTTGGAGAAAATACTATACCACACATAAAGAGATTTAAATATCTTTGGTGTATCATTTAAGACAATGGAAAAATATAGGATGATGTTAATCACATGATTCAAGCTGGTTGGTCAAAATGGCAGAGTGCTTTGGGCTTTATATGTGATAAAAAATGAACATGAACCCAAGGTTAGTGTGATGGAAATGAAGATGGTTCGTTTGATGAGCAATCATACACGTATAAATAAAACAAGGAATTAAGATATGAGGGCTAAAGTTGGAGTGACACCTATTATAAAAAAAGATGGTGGAAACTCGTCTTAGGTGGTTAAGACATGTGGAGAGAAGACCACTAGAGGATCCTATGAGAAAAGTTGATCAAATGGTGAACAAGCATGTGGCTAGAGGAAGAGGTAGACGTAAGAGAACTTGACAAGCATTGATCAAGGGAGACCTTCGCGTGAATGATCTCACAATAGATTTGATACATGATAGGGCGTAGTGACGTCGTTTGATCAATGTAGCTGACTCCACCTAGCGGATAAGACTTTGTTGTTGTTGTTGTATTTCTTATAATTTAATTTTAGGCAATCTCATATTACATTATATTCTTTATAATAGTAAAGGTATTTAATTTATAAAAGATATGTGATTGAAAATATATTTAGTTTGATGGCATTTCAAATAATTGTTTGTTATTTCGATATAGGCATGTTTTCATTAAAAAAATACTAAGTACGGATTGATTTAGTGCATTTAAAATTATTAATTTAAGTTGAAATGTTCAAAATTTTATTAAAAAATGTACTTAGTTTTGTATTCTTATATAATTATATTTTTGGATGTACTAATAATTTAACTTGTTTTGTGTGTATATATAAATTTCATATGGTGACTATTCCAAAATTATTAGATTTAGAGCATAAAAGATAGTTTCAAGTTTGTCAAAAAAAGTAATTTTTCAAACTTTTACTAAATACTCTCTCTATCCCAATACGTTTGTCCAGAGTGCCTTTTTCGAAACAAACTAGATGAATTTTGAGCTTCAATTAAATAAAATTTGTAATATAGATTTGTATAAAAATAATTTTATTAGATTTATCTTGTTGAAAACTTTCATAATTTCATTTCATTATACTAATATGCAATACAAATTCAAAGTAACTCATGCTCAAAGTTTGTTCAGTTTGACTTGAAAAAGTTAAAGTTGACAAACACGCGAGGTAGTAATTTACCTTTGAAAGTTCTATTTCAAAACTATAAAATTGGATGAAATAAAGTGTCCATAATTGTTATAGAGAAGGTGGAAATAAGTTCATCCAAGTCTATCTGAAAAATATTACCAGATCTACAAAATGAGAGGTTTGAAGAGTCACATATGAGTAGTTAAAATATTCCATTTATGTGTACACATGTGTATAAAACTTACATATTTCATATATTGATAATTTAACATAGCAACTTTATTACATATTTTATTTATTTATTTTTAATTTTACATATTTTACAAATAAAAAATAAAATTTACAGATATATTTTACGTAAGAATATACAACACCGTGTGAAACACGAGGTAAAAAACTTATTTTAACTACAAAAGTTATCCAGAATAAGTTCATCTTTATCCGGTTTTGCAAAATTAATTCTACCTTTCACTGTGATGCATAATAGTCCTAACTTTACTGAAACTCGTGAGTTTTGGGTCATCGTTAAATTGCTAATGATTGGTTAATGAATCCTATTTTTTGTAACAAAATGAAAATTGAGATTATTTCTGATGAAGTTTGTTTTATTTTTTATTTTTTTTGAAGTTTCCCTTAAACTTTTAAAATCACTTTCTACCCCGTCAATTATTTTCCTTTTAAAGATTAGTCTTACCCTTAGAAATAAATTAAAAAATAGATTTAAAAATAACAAAAATGAGAAAAAAACTAAAACCATACAAAATCAATGAAGTAAAAAGATAATCATTAAAAACTAACTTCAAATTTATAAAAAATAAAACTAAAAATATATGGAGTTGTGGATTCTAACGTTAATGTATTACTTCTTATGTTGATAAAAAATGAAAATAAAAAACAAGAAATAAAAAATTCTTATTAAAACCTTAAAGAAAAAAAATTATATTTCTTTCTAATAAATAACTAAACTGAAATTACATTGAAGTAAGAGAATAGTATTTTTATTTCTTTTTTATTATTTTTATTTCCATTTTTTAGGTTTTTTAATAAGAAAATAATTTTTTAATTTCTTTTTTATTTTTATTTTCACTTTTTATCATGGGAGAAAGTAATACGTTAATGCATTCTTTTCACTTTTATTTTATCAATTTTGTATTTTTTTCTGAGGTAAGACTAATATTTTAGAACAGAAAAAGAATTGATAGAGCTAGAAAGTCATTTTAAAATTTTTTAAAAAAAGTAAAAATTAAAATTTATAAAAAATAATCTAAACTTTTATTTTTTGTGTGCAAAAGAAGCCATTTTGTTAATCAACCGTTAGTAGCTTAATGAGGATCCAAAACTCACAAATATTAGGCTCGAGTTGGTACACAGAATCGACGGAATTGGAAATCGAAATTCTATGGAATTGAGTTGGGTGGAATTGGAATCTTCAATTCCAATTCATTTTTGGTACTACCAGTTCCAAATCTACATATTTTTGTGCTACCAAAGAACACAATTAGAATTGTTGGTCTCAATTACAATTCCATTGTTTGAATTTCATGTACCAAATGGAGACTTAGTAAAATTGAGATCATTATGTATACTATTTTTTGAATAAATTTTCAAAATGGTCCTTTCTAATAAGGTATTTTTCTAACTTGGTCCTTAATAAACAATAATTACCAATATAGTTTTTTTAAATTGGGAAATAGTTCCCTGTCAAAAACTACTTATTAAATGATAATTAAATTAGGGATATTTTTATATTTTTTATCATCTAAATTATGAATAAGCTCTTAAAATAGTCCTTTCAAATTAATTGGGTAGCCGCTAGAGGAACGAGTCCACCTCGAGGAGGCTTATGTCCTCCATTTCGGAAAAGTAATTACTTGAAAATTATCGTTTTCGAAAAATATCTAATTATATAGTAGCATTTTGAGAACATATTTTAGATCGAGATGATAAAAAAATATCAAAATACATTCTATTTGACTGTCAATTAATAAACACTTTTGATAGAAGACTTTTTAGGAAATGTATCTCAATTATAAATGATCATACTAATAATTATTGTTTATTGAAAATTAATTTAAAAAATGTATCTTAATTATGATCATTTTGAGAATTTTTTAACTACAATACTGTAGATGAGAACAATATTTTGACCGGGAACCGGCTGGGACACTTGTCCAGTTGAGTATTCGTTTCCTTCCCTCTACTCTTTCTTCGCATCTCAGAATCTTTGTTGGCATTTATGCATCGCACCCTTAATCCCCAAATCCCCCTTATTTCCAAATCGAATCCAATGTGGTTGATGGTGCCGTAATTTTTCAGACGATCCGGCGGAGGACGATGGTGAAGAGTTGGTGGCGCGTGCAATTCGACAATCACAGCAAGATCGAATCTGATTTGAACCCGAATAGTTCAGTCGTTAATGGAACCGAAGAAAGTCGCTGTCTCATCGGAGGCAGATAAACAAAACCTAGAAGAGAAGGTTAAGGTTTTGCAGTGGGAAGATTATGAACAAGAGCTGGCTCGAATCTGCAGTCTCACCGCTGCCCAAAATGAATCTAAGCTCAAGAAGGAATTTCTTCAAGAAAAACTACAGTCAATCTTACGGGTACAATCCCCCCTCTCTCTTTTATTAATTTTAATCTGGAAAATCAAATCAAATATCTCAAGCTTTGCACGAGCAATAACACCGCTTAAAAAATTGCCATTTGTTTGAGCTGTCATGAGCACTATGAATATTACAACCTGTTATTTTCATCTAAGGGTAATATCATACTGATAAGAGAGTTCAGAAATATAGTACTCCTTATTATGTTGAGTTCATGTGAGAGACCTATTTACAGTTTTGTGAGGTTAAGGATTTTGATTTTTTGGTTTTGTTATGGAATTTCACAAAGTTGATGTATGTGGTTGTATCTTTCGATCATATGGTAGGTTTTGCATAGAAACGATAGGTTGAAAGGTATGGATGTTGTAGAAGTGTTGTCAAACAACAAGCTTTGTAACTTTAGCCTCCCTTATATATCTATATGTATAGGATAAATTAAAAATGATGCACTACGAGAGAAATGAGAATGTGTATGGTCTATCGGATTTAAGGTCTAATGGCTACTAAAAGTGAAAAATTAGAATAATATTGGGAAAATGCAGGGACATTTTAGTAAATAAGTCAAACTTTTCAGCCATCGTGAAATGAGCACTGCTTCAAACACAATATGCATCACAATGATGCAATGAACCAAAAATGCATTGTTTTCATTTCTCAAGTTAAGGGTCATATATATCTCTGGGGGTTCGAATCCCTCTCCATCCGCGAGGTCATAAGTGATCTCTTGCCTTATCTATAGATAAGAACGAATTGGATCTTTTGTCTATTAGTTGAAGAAAGCAAGCAGTTAGTGCAACGAATGAGTAAGAAGGCTAGTATGACCAAGGATGGTTCCATTTTTTCACTAAATAGGCATGATAGTGTTCAACTACATAAAAGTAGTGCAGAGAACTAGTCAGAATTGGGCCTTCCATCCACGGGGATGATCCGCCACCGCGAGAAATACTTGATATAGGTTTCTATAGGAATTCGATATCTCATCGGTCCAAGCTTCATAGTTGCGGATTCCTAGGTTATTGATATTGAGATTGAAGGAAGACCCTCCTTCCCAGGACTGAAATGACATCAGACCTTTCCTTTTCGGGATTCCCCAAGTTCTCTCTCGGCGTCCCTCCCCCTCTCCCTTAGTTTCACATAGTTCAACTAAGCCACTTCATACCTTTGTTTCACATAGTTTAACTCAGCCACTTCATACCTTATTTTCACATAGTTCAACTAATGATTCTTTGAACTATGTTCAACGAATCTCTAGCCACACACACACGGACTAATACTTATTTAACATACAGACTGTATTTATATTTACAAATAATACGATGGAACATTTAGGTTTCCTTAGTATTGGTATTCTATTATTAAACTACAAGCAACTTATAATTGGGTTGAAAAATCAAATAAACATTTATATCGGTTAGTGGTTTCTGCATCCTTTGAAAGAAATGCAGGAAGATAAATCAATTCTATTATTACAATTATTTGTTGTACTTGTGATAGAATGTCATGTCATGTGAACAAGCATAGGGATAAGGTGATTTAGAGTATGTCCTAACTAACGTCGGACAGTCGACTGTCCTTTACAACAGTCGAGTAAGTGGACCATTGGTTGCATGGAGATATGTAACTTCCTCCCGGGCCCGAGACACGGTCAACCATTTCCCATAAACGGTCCAGGTGGTACACCGTCGTTTGGTCTAGCATCAGATTCCCATTGTGTAGGTCGACCGTTATAATGGAACGGCCCATCTGGCTCGACCATCGCTAGCTTCCCTTGCTAGTGTATAAAGCATGGTCGACCATGTGACCCCAACGGTCCACCGGCTTGACCGTGACCAGGTTAGCTTGCTCCTTCTTGTCCGTCTCTCCTATGGGTTCCCACGCTCCGGTTTGGGCGAGGATTTCTTTCACCATCTTATGGTGTTTGCCTTGGGAACCTGAAAGTTGTCATTTGAAGACAAATAAAAAGTACCCCATGCTGTTAGACCCACTTCGGTGAGGTGGGGCACACGTGTGCGCCCATGTTCGAAAGTTTACTTTCCGGATTCACATCATCATGTATCTACTCACTATGATAAAAGTTGTATTATTGATTTATCCTCCCAATACTGTTAGCATAGTTTGACAAAGTTTGAAGTATTTGTTTTAACAAGTTAAAGGTTTTTGTGTATTATGTTCACCTCGTCTAAGGTTGGATTATTTGATTTTATTTTCTCACTTATTTATTGATCTTCTTTTGAGAATTCTCTTGAACTATAAAAAGTTTGGAATACAGTACTGTGCGGTGCCATTGAAATATTGGAACATGAAGTAAAAAATTTTGTAAAATAAAAACCTTTAAAGGGTCAATGATTGGCGTAGTCTCCAGTTTGTGCCTATTTTGACAAGATTGTCGTGGGGGGGGGGGGGTCAGAAA